AGAAGGAAGGAAAAGAGAACAGAAAGGAAGGACGGAAGGGAAAGAAGAAAAGAGGGAGGGAAAGAAGGAGAGAGATTGTAGACAGCGACCAAAGGAAAAAGGAGGGAGAGATCAAAAGAAAGAAAGATGGAGACAGAGGGAGGGACAGAAAGAGAAGGAAGGAAAGAAGGAAGGAAAAGAGAACAGAAAGGAAGGACGGAAGGGAAAGAAGAAAAGAGGGAGGGAAAGAAGGAGAGAGATTGTAGACAGCGACCAAAGGAAAAAGGAGGGAGAGATCAAAAGACAGAAAGAAGGAGAAAGAGGGAGGGACAGAAAGAGAAGGAAGGAAAGAAGGAAGGAAAAGAGAACAGAAAGGAAGGACGGAAGGGAAAGAAGAAAAGAGGGAGGGAAAGAAGGAGAGAGATTGTAGACAGCGACCAAAGGAAAAAGGAGGGAGAGATCAAAAGAAAGAAAGAAGGAGAAAGAGGGAGGGACAGAAAGAGAAGGAAGGAAAGAAGGAAGGAAAAGAGAACAGAAAGGAAGGACGGAAGGGAAAGAAGAAAAGAGGGAGGGAAAGAAGGAGAGAGATTGTAGACAGCGACCAAAGGAAAAAGGAGGGAGAGATCAAAAGAAAGAAAGAAGGAGAAAGAAGGAGGGACAGAAAGAGAAGGAAGGAAGGAAGGAAGGAAGGAAGGAAGGAAGGAAGGAAGGAAGGAAGGAAGGAAGGAAGGAAGGAACAGCAACCAAGCCAGCCAGCTACTCACGGTAGAAGATGTACTCGGTGTAGCTACTCCAGATCTTATCCTCCCTGTACTGGTTGACGAAGGCGGCGGTGCCCGTGGAGTTGCAAGCCACCATGTGGAAGCCGGCCTCGGCCAGCCGGTCGAAGGCTTGCTCCAGGTAGGTGTATTTCAGGTAGAAGCGGGCCGTGTATTTCTCGGGCGGCCGGTCGGGGTCGCGGCTCTCGTTCAGCGTCTCGCCGAAGACCTCCTTGGCCAGGGCGATGCGGCCGCAGACCATGATGCGCGCCACCCGTCGGAACTTGGCGTCCGCCTGGTTGTCCCGCACCGACGTGTAGGAGCCCCGGTAGCCGACGGTGAGGAAGCCCGAGCGCCTCTCCCCGGCCCGGGACGGCGGAGCCACCGGCAACAAGTCCCCGCTGCCGGGCGAGGCGCTCTCCTCCAGGTCGCTCTGGCAGCCTTCGTCGTTAAGCGAGCCCTGCTTGGGCACCTTGGGGGAGAGCAGCTTAGCCAGGTCGGGCAGCTGGAAGTGCTCGGCCTCGCGGAGCAGCCGCTCCTTCTCCGGGAAGTGCTCGGGCAGGGCCAGCTGCTTGTCCCGCAGGTAATCCAGGACGTACCTGAAGAGGAAGCCGTCGCGGTCGATGAAGAAGCGGGCGCGGCTGTCCCGCGGCAGCTCCCGGCACCCGCCGCTCAGCCGCGACGGGGAGAACATCTGCGCCAAGGTGCTCTCGGCCACGCTCAGCAAGGTGGAGTGCCGGGTCACGTACACCTGGCCGCCCACGTTCAGCTCCACCACCTCGGGGAAGGCGCAGCCCGGCGGCGCGGCCCCCGCGGGGCACCCCGAGATCATCTCGCTGATGGGGAGGATGGTGGCGGGGTTGATGGGGGTGGGGGTCCCGCCGGGGCCGCCGCCCTCCTTCAGGGCCATGCCGGCCGCCAGAAGCCCCCCGACGGCCACTGGCGTCCTCCGCGGCGATCCACGCGCGATGCCGGATCTCCGCCACCCGCGGAAACCCTTCGGCTCCGCTCCCGTTCTTTTGGGGAGGGTCGTGAGCGCCTGGGACCCGAATCTCTGGGGTTTCCTGACCGGCTGCTCCCCTCGGCGAAGCGGCTAAGAAGAGTGGGGGTCTCCCTGCAGGAAAGGACGGGTTCCCCTCCTCCGCGGGGCGCAGCAGCAGCCGCTGCCTCTTGGCAGACCCCACTGGCGGCTAATAAGGGTGGGGGGGCTCCTGACCAGCCGGGACCCCCAAGGAAGTCCTCTCCCGAACCTCTGGGCTCCTCCAGGCAGCTCCCCTCGGCGATGCAGCTAATAAGGGTGGGGGGGCTCTTCTGACCGGCCTGGACCCCTTCCCCCCCCCCGGCCGCCGATAAATTTTTCCGAACCTGTGGGGTCTCCTTCCTGGCTGCTCCCCTCGGCGATGCGGCTAATAAGGGTGGGGGTCTCTTAACCAGGCGAGACCCTCCAGAACCGTTGGGCTCCTCCAGGCANCTATTCTCCTCTGTTCTATTTTATTCAGAATCCTATTCTATTCTCCATTATTTTATTCTATTCAGAAACCTATCTATTCGATTCCATTCGAGGTGGATTGATAGTTCATCCCTCAAGTTTGAAAGACATTCCTGTTTTTATCTAGGACTTAGTCCCCACCCAAATCTTTTTTTTTTTTAAACAAAAACATTGTTTGCATTGATTCACTTCAACAACAAAACACATCGCAAGAAGTCTGGAGGAATCTTTCCTTTGTCTCCACACATACCTATCCAAATAAGAGGTGCGTTAGGCACAGCACTAACAGGGTAGATAGCCATTTTCTACCTGAACAAATTTACCAAATTGGGTGTTCTGGAAAGGAAACACCACGGAAAATGATAACAAAGTTTAAAAAAAAAACACCCAGAAATTGAAAATGAAAGGTGGAACCTACAGTTTCGGAGGCCATGCTCCAAAATCTTCACTCGAGCCTGAATTTTATAAATTACTATCTGGAGACCGGGGTGGTGTCTCGTTTTAATAAATGCTGCTCTTCACTACTTGGGGGGGGGGGGGGAAAGCTATTAATTTTAGCGTTGCAAGGATTCGCCCTAATAATGGTGGATTCTAATTAACAACATTCCCAAAAGGTTTTCTGGGAAGAAAACTGGCATTGTGGAGGGTCTGGAAAATATGGCTCAGTGCCCAGGCTTTCGACTAGGGTTGGGGGGGGGGTGTTTGAAGCCCCTTCTGAGTGGTGTGTGTGTGTGTGTGTGTGTGTGTGTGTGTGTTGTGGTTGCCCAGTTCTGCCGTCTTTTTGCTCTCTTCTCTTTACTGTTACGTTGTTTTATGGTTAATATTGGTTTTTTTTCCCCTTCTGTTTTTACTTTGGGAAAGTGGATGATGGGGAGGCTCTGTACAAATGTAATCAATAATAATAAAGCTTGGGTGTTCAAAAGCTATGCAAGAAAGTTTTTTATTATTATTAACTAGGGAAGTGAAGCAAACACCCTCCTTGTTTGTTTAGAGGCACTTCCTATTTGACTTTTCCAACTCCTGGGGCAGCCTTTAAGTTTAAGGGGAAAAAAACGAAAGGAACAGTTTTCTGTCAAACAGTATAAGCCCTGTCCACCTGCCGGGAAGGAAGGAAGTTGGGGGAGAAAGGAAATGATTAAGAAAGGAAGGAAAGAGGGAGGGAGATGTAGAAAGGGAAGGAAGAAAAGGGGAGGGGAGAAATCAAAAGAAAGAAGGAAAGAAAGAAGGAAAAAGAGGGTGGGAAGGAGGGAGGGAGGGAAGGAAGAGTAGGAAGAAAAAGTGAGGGAGAGCAAAAGAAAGAAGGAAGGAAATGGAGAGAGGGAAGGAAGGAAAAAATGAACAGGAATGAAGGGTGGAAGGGAGGGAGGGGAGGAAGGAAGGAAGGAAAGAAAAAAAAGAGGGAGGGAAGGAGAGAGGGAGATGTAGACAGGAAAGGAAGAAAAAGGGAGGGAGGGAGCAAAAGAAAGAAGGAAGGAAGAAAAAAGAACAGGAAGGAAGGATGGAAGGGAGGGAGGGAAGGAAAGAAAGAAATTAGGGACGGAGGGAAGGAGAGAGAGAGGTGTAGATGGAAGGAAGGAAGGAAAAAGGGAGGGAGGGATAGAAAGAAGGGAAAAAGAACAGGAAAGAAGGACAGAAGGGAAGGAAGGAAAGAGAAAAGGGAGGGAGGGAAGGGAAGAAGGGAAGGAAGGAGAGAGAGGTGTAGACAGGGGAGGAAGAAAAAAGGAGGGAGATAAAAAAGAAGGAAGGAGAAAGAGGGACAGCAAGAGAAAGAAGGAAGGAAGGAAAGGAAGAAAAGAGGAAGAGAAGGAAGGAGAGAGGTGTAGACGGGAGGAAGGAAAGGGAGATCAAAAGAAAGAAAGAAGGAGAAAGAGGGAGGGACAGAAAGAGAAGGAAGGAAGGAAAGAAGGAAAAGAGAACAGGAAGGAAGGACGGAAGGGAAGGAAGAAAAGAGGAAGAGAAGGAAGGAGAGAGGTGTAGACGGGAGGAAGGAAAGGGAGATCAAAAGAAAGAAAGAAGGAGAAAGAGGGAGGGACAGAAAGAGAAGGAAGGAAGGAAAGAAGGAAAAGAGAACAGGAAGGAAGGACGGAAGGGAAGGAAGAAAAGAGGGATGGAAAGAAGGAGAGAGTTGTAGACAGCGACCAAAGGAAAAAGGAGGGAGAGATCAAAAGAAAGAAAGAAGGAGAAAGAGGGAGGGACAGAAAGAGAAGGAAGGAAGGAAAGAAGGAAAAGAGAACAGGAAGGANTCTCCTGTGTTGTGCCATGTGCTTGTGAAGTTGCTGTTCTGTTTCCCCCAATGTACAGTTCTGCAGACGGCTCGCTGCTTTTTACTGCATATACCGTCCACAGCTCTCCAAAAGGATGCAAATGACCAGCTGCCTGCAAGGAGGATCAATCCTTCATTCTCCACCATCCAGTCGGAGCTGAAGAAACTTCTTGGAATGAGAAGCGAAACGTCTTCAAAGAAAAACAAGTGAGTCCTGTTCCCTCTTAAGAAAGCACCTTTGAGGCACAGCTAAACCTCCAAGTGGCCTCATTGACTCTCTCAAAAGGATGCAAATGACCAGCTGTCTGCAAGGAGGATCAATCCTTCCATTTCTCACCATCCAGTCAGAGCTGAAGAAGCTTCTTGGAATGAGAAGCAAAATGCCTTCAAAGAAAAACAAGCGAGTCCCATTGCCTCTTGAGAAAGCACTTTGGGGCACAAACAAATCTCCAAGTGGCCTCATTGACCCTCTCAAAGGATGCAAATGACCAGCTGCCTGCAAGGAGGATCAATCCTTCCATTCCCCACCATCCAGTCAGAGCTGAAGAAGCTCCTTGGAATGAGAAGCGAAAAGTCTTCAAAGAAAAACAAGCGAGTCCTGTTCCCTCTTGAGAAAGCACCTTTGGGGCACAGCTAAACCTCCAAGTGGCCTCATTGACTCTCTCAAAAGGATGCAAATGACCAGCTGCCTGCAAGGAGGATCAATCCTTCCATTCCCCACCATCCCCTCAGAGCGGAAGAAGCTTCTTGGAATGAGAAACGAAACGTCTTCAAAGAAAAACAAGTGAGTCCCGTTGCCTCTTAAGAAAGCACCTTTGGGGCACAGCTAAACCCCCAAGTGGCCTCAACGACCCTCTAAAAAGGATGCAAATGACCAGCTGTCTGCAAAGAGGATCAATCCTTCCATTCCCCACCATCCAGTCGGAGTTGAAGAAGCTTCTTGGATGAGAAGCAAAATGTCTTCAAAAGAAAAAAAAAGAACAGAAATCCCAGTTGCCTCTTGAAAAAAAAAAGCACCTTTGGGACAACCGTGATGACTGAGAATCTCTACAGACATCTGGGGTGTTTGTAACTTACTCTATAGTAACCCTAACTTAAGCTAATTTAGACCCCCAGGGGGGGAAAAAAACAAACTGTTGTTATTTTATCTGGCACTTGATGACAGTTCTTACTAAAATTGCTGCGTATAATAATAATCCTTCCAAATGC